GCGAAGTTTTTGAATCTATATAAAATAAGAACACTATTTTTAAGTGTTTGTGTCCAAGACATATATCGTCGCATGTTCAACTTGTGTCAGTGACAGACACGGAGACACCGCATCTGATATGGACACAGCTATTGAGTGAAATGTCCTGTATCATACTTATATATTTCCGTTATTTAGTCGGATCTTAATTATGATCTAATTCTATCACTTTGATCTACCCTTCATCGATCCATTTGGTAGGATCCTGATCTTTATATATTAACCACTTATCAATCTTGACCAATGACCACCTAAAAATATACAAGTATAGTAGAGTGTTCATTTAACTAATCAACTCTTAAATTGATTATTATTATTTTTATTTTTTTTCCGAGAGCTAGTCATCCTTTTTGGGAAATATTTTTGCAATGTCCAAGGTTCCTCCACAAGGTTCATCCACGACGTGTTTTAATATGGAGTACTTATTTAACCCTAGGCTCAATAAACCTAGAAACGATGTGATCCAAATTAAAGCTAGTTAGGGTAAAGAAAATTGACGCAAAAGGTTGACCCAACCCCTTGACATGTCTCTACAATTTTATCTGACCCATAATCACCTCTATTTCGAAATTTTTATTCTTTAAGACAATTATATTGTAACCTACTAACCTTCCCCACCAACAACGTGCGAGCGCGGCTATCAGTCCTATCACAAGTATCACTATCAATGCGGCTCCCAGTTAGCTAATACGGGGTCATAAAATTCTAGAAACCAGCTTGCATATTTCTGATTTTGCCTAGTAGCTTAATAGCTGCCTCTAGCTTGCACATCACACGTCTGATGATCAACTTACCTAAATTCGGTTCCCAACTACTTAAGATATAAATTGTCAATTTCAAGCAAAATTGAGTGAAATTATCACGAAAGTTCTTTTGTGTGGTTGGAATGTAGAATTAACATTTTATTTGGTTGGACAAATTTTTGTAGGTGAAATAAAAAGAATGAGACAATCGTTAAGGGCTAAGGAAATCTAGCTAGCTAGGAGGGAATCTAAAGATTTGAGCTCGTGAACTCAATGTTTAACTCTAAATTGTTATTTATTGAGGTATTTCAAATTACTTGTTATGTTTTCAGAGTAAAATATAAATAAATAAATGAATAATGAAAAGGATTTGACCATTACATTTATATAATAACCGGATACATCATTCGGACCCAAAAATTAGTTGTTTATTAATATTAGGTTCACTTAGCTTGATTTAGAATTATAAAATAAATGACAATCATTATGCGCTTTGATTTATATAATCCCTACTTAGAATTCCAGGCCATATATCAATTTATTGCCATGTATGGAACAACTAGAGAAGATGAACCATTTTCATTTCTTTTTTAGGCCCTAATCTTTTGAGCTATTGTTGTCTGCTATGCTCTGTTCTACTGAGCCTTACTCTACTCAGCTGAGTATTATAATAATCTAATCTGCTGACACTTGCTCTGCTCTAAAGTTCAAAAGAACAGGACCTTAGTTTTGTACGTACAGTTATTATTAAATAAATATAGATACATTTGTACAATGATTACTACAATATAAAATTCTACTGAGTATGTGCAATAATTAATAAATTATGTTATCATGTTATATATAATGGCTAAAACATTAAATCAATAAAAGGTAATATCAAATAATACTGTATGTACAATCATCATAATTAAGCTCAAGCAGCTCAACTAACATCATTTACTTTTCCTATGTAATTACTAAGCTAATTAGTATTCTTCAAAGGAAAATGATAGTAAATCGATTATTGACGATTCTAAGACAATATTCACTGCTAACAAAGTAATTGTGTATATTTGTATTTCATTATTTGATATTTAGGGAAAAAAATTTGTGCCATGAAATAATCCTTGAGGGTGAAATCCCCGAAACAAACAAATAGCAGAAAATAAAACTAAAAACAACAAAACAAAGGAAAAACTAACTAGCCAAGGAGACCTTTTCGACACTAGTCTTGGCCACACCACCCCACTAAGGTCTTCTAATAATACAATCCTAAGGGAAATAAGGACCATCACGAATAGCAAAAAAAGTTTTGATCAGAATTATCCCCATATATAATATTATAGTCGCTCGGCTAGCTTCCATATAATAGCAATGGTTAATTGTAATCTCCCAATTATTTAAACAAAAATGATTTGTATCTACTTTATGTTAAACCCTAAACTTAATTCAAGATTAGACTTGCTTAGTAGCCCCCACTTATTCCAATAATCTCCCCGTTATATATATATATGAATTTATGATGGTACATTACCTTTTTTTTTTTTTTTTTTTTTTGGTAAGTAAAAATTTATTACCAAAGAAGCTGAAAACAGCAAAAGAAATACAAACCCAACCAAGGGCCAAAATAACAACAAGCCCAAAAATAACCAAAGCAAACTGGCCAAGGCCTTAGACTACCAGCCCACCTTCTAGGAAGGGTTGCTAGAGCCCAAACACCAAAAAGAAGGCCCTTCTGAACTCAGTGATTATGAGCTACCCAATAGGAGAACTCAGAAGATCACAGGAACAGGACAAACAAACGAAAAGAGAGGAACCCCAAAAAGGACACTTTTAATAAGCTGCAATCTGCCAGCATAAGAGAGAAATTTTGAGGCCCACCCCTTAATTCTGCAAGTGATTTTATTAACTAGAGGCTTACATTGCTGAATAGTCAACTTCTTAGAAGAGAGAGGAACCCCAAGATACTTAAAAGGAATAGAGCCAGCAACCATACCCAAGCTACTCAGAAGAGAGTTTTGCAAGTCAGAGTCAATACCCCCAAAATAAACCTCACTCTTTGACAAATTAGGCTCAAGACCAGAGGCTTTAGAGAATTTCTGAAAAGCCTTAAACACGAGCTTAACAGAACAATCATCGGCTCGAGTGAAGAGTAACAAATCATCTGCAAACATCAAATGAGTGATAAGCAGCCTTTCACATCTAGGATGATAGTTGAAATTAGGCTCCTTGGCAAGCTCACGTAAACATCTAGATAAATACTCCATTCCTATGGCAAAAAGAAAAAGAGACATGGGGTCACCTTGCCTTAAACCTTTCTGTGCTTTAAAAGGGGCAGAAGGAGAGCCATTTATCAAGATAGAGTAGGAAACAGTGGAGATGCACACCATAATCCAGTTCACAAACACAGAAGGAAAGCCAAGCTCAAACATCACAGCTTGAATAAAGCTCCATTCAATGGAATCATAAGCTTTCTTCAAATCAACCTTGAGCATACATCTAGGAGTAACAAGCTTATGATTATATCCCTTAATAAGTTCAGTGGCTAAAAGTATATTATCACCAATGTGCTTACCAGGAATAAATCCAGCCTGAGCTTCATCAACAACATCTCCAACCACATGACCAAGTCTAGAAGTCAAGACCTTAGAAATGATCTTGTATAAAACAGTGCAACAAGCAATAGGTCTGAAATCCTTCACATAAGAAGGATTCTGAACTTTAGGAACCAAAGTGACAGTTGTGTAATTCCACAAAGAATTCAAAGTACTGTTAGTAAATAAACTGTGAACAGCTTCATAAATCTCAAATTTGACAATGTCCCAAGTATGCTTAAAGAATTTTGCATTAAATCCATCAATTCCAGGAGCCTTATCATCAGAGATACTTTTGATAGCACAATCAATCTCAGAATTGGTCACAGGGCTAATAAGAAAATTCTGAGCATCAATGGATAACTGTTTCCCTGATCTCATTACAGTCAGATCAATGGCATCCAGAGCAGAAGATCTCGAACCCAGGAGGAGCTTATAAAAAGCCACAATCTCTTTCTCTATGTCAACATGAACTTTAAGAAGAACTTGCTGATCAGTTGAGAGGGAATCAATTCTGTTTCTAGCTTGTCTTGTCTTCATCAATCTGAAAAAGTACTTAGTGTTAGAATCACCAAGTTTAATCCAATCAACCCTAGCTTTCTTTCTGTAGATACTCTCCTGCACAGATCTCCAGTATTTAAACTTTTGAATAGCAGAAGCCTCCTGAGTCAACAAATCAGAAAGAGAATGATCAAGAGCCATTTGCCTCTGAATATCTAGAACAGCCTGTTGAGCTATATCAACTTTCAAATCAACATTGCCAAAAACTTTAGAGTTAAGCTCTTTAAACTTAACCTTCAGCTTCTTACAATTATTCCAAACTCTACTCATAGCATTTCCCTGAGAACCTTCATTCCAAATTCCAGACACTATGTCCATGAACTCAGGGTGATTAATAATATGGTTCAGAAATCTAAAAGGCTTCCCTTAACCCTGAACAGGAGGAAGAATCTCATACAATAGAGGAACATGATCAGATAAAGAAGGAGGAAGATACACAACTTCAACATTTGGAAAATGCAAAAGCCACTCAAAATTGACCAGACCCCTGTCAATTCTCGTTTGAGTTCTAGGGCCTGTGTGAGCCTTATTAGACCAAGAGAAATAAGAACCTTTACTCTTAATCTCAGTGAAACTCATTTGATCAATAACTCAGAGAAATCTCTAACTTCATAATTAGAAACTGCATTCCCATTAACTCTGTCTTCAGGATGCAGGATAGAATTAAAATCACCCGTGCACAACCAAGGCATAGACACAGATCCAATAGCTGTAATCCCTCTCCAAAGATCTTTCCTATCATGAATATTATGAAGACCATAAACAAAAGACACAGTAATCTAATTACTATAATCCATAGTACTTACAACGCAATGGATGAATTGAGCATGAACAGTAAGCACATCAAGATGCACCCTATCATTCCTCCACCCAATCCAATTCTACCTTTTCCTTGATTCAGAATAGTTAGAAACCCAAACAAGACCATGAGCAATTTTCTTCTAAACTCCACCAGACTTAGGCTGTTTAACTCTAGTTTCCAGTAGACAAATAACATCAGAGCTAGTTCTATCAAGCAGCTGTTTAACATCAGCCACTTTTGAGGGATCATTAAGACCCCTGATATTCCAAGCAGTGATAATCATTGTACTGGAGGGGGCCTACCCCCGCTAGGTTTATGTCCCAGAACATCAACATCAGACTCATGCAACATATCAAATTTGTTAGAAGTAAGGACAGGCTTGACAGAGACAGCAGGTTCTTTACCTTTCTTTTTCATGGTTTCCCAAGTATCTGACACTGTTTTTCCAGGACCTTGATTTTGCTTTTGAACCCACACTTTCTTCTGTGTTTGAATTATAGGAGCTGGCTTTGCTTGAAGTTCATCACAATTATGACCAGGCTTATTGCATTTTGTACAGAAGGGAGGTATCCATTCATAGATCACCTTAAGTTCAACTATCTCTCCTTTAGGGCTTTCCACCCAAACCGACTTTGCCAGGGGTTTTGTAATATCAATTTCTATAAGGAGCTTTGCAAAAGAGACCCTTAGATGTCTAGAAGTACATTCATCAGCACATATTGGAACACCCAAGGTACTTCGAATTTTACTTAAGGTTTCAGCACCCCAACAATTCAAAGGAAGATTAGGAATTTTAACCCAAAGTGGAATAGTGCGCAAAATTTCAGAACTAAAATCAAATTTGTCAGTCCAAGGTTTAACTGGCTTGCCATAAAACATATGAGGGCCTTCACTCATGACAGAATTCAAATTATCCAGAGAACGAAGATTAATAATAAAATACCCCTCATAATGCCAGTACACATCGGGATTATTATCAATTCTCCATTCATTAGCAATAAAACGTTTAATGGCTGCAATTGTAGGATAATACCCAACTACATATAGCACAATTACATGACTCCATTTCCTATTTCCTTCTTCAATTGCAGCATTAGATAAAGACAGCAATTGACTTACCTTCTTTAATTTGCGGGGATACAAATTTCAGAGCAAACCCTTTTGCAGTCAGCTTTCCATTAAAATCTCGATCACCAGCAACTTCATTATCACCCTTCTTCAGTATACTTCCAATAGGTTCAAGAGGATGAGAATTTTTCAAGGCAATATTAGCAGCTGGTCCAGCAGCAGAGCTAGAATTATGCAATGGAACAGTAATTGGGGATTTCACTGTTCCATTGGATTTAGGACAAACTGAACCAAAACTCAAAGCCAAAAGCTCAGCATCTCTTCTAGTAATCATTCCTGCAGAAGGATGAACAAGCCCAGGAGCAGGGGTCACAAGTTCATCACCCTCATCAAAAACCTCATGAACAATAGGAAAACCAGCTGAAGCAGGAATAAAGAGTGATTCTGTAATTTCTGTAACTTCTTTAGTGATCTTAGAGGGGGCTGGAGTTGCCTGCTTCTTCTTTCTAGCCATAGCAACTGATATAGGGAAGAAAACCAGCTTAATCAAGCCACCATGGAAGGAAAACGAAGCTTTCTCTCTCTAGGGTTTTTACATTACCTTTCCTATAAGTAAAATATCAATTTTCTAATTGTTTCTTTCAACAAAAATTAAATATTCAAACAAATCTTTGAAAATAAAGAAATATCATCTAAAATTCGATATAGTACAAAAACATATCAATTTCCTCATAAAAGAGTTCATATTATATGATTACTAGTCGTATCAATTAGATCGAACATACAACTTCTGATCCAATTGACTGCTCCTAATGTATAGTCAACTAAAGCTGTTGTTTAATTTTACAAACAAATTTATTTGAAGGGGATGCAAAGGTATATCTTGTCTGTTTTAAAATGATATTATTGACTTTTTGTTGTTTGTTGTGTGAACCAATTAACAAATACAGTCCAGTTTTAAGTGTCCTGGAAAATTAATTCTACTTATGTTAGAGGCTTTTTGAGTCATTCAGTGTATATGGCCATTGATTATCTGTGTAAAGATCATACTCCCTCCATCTCATAATATAGTTCATGTTTGTGTTTTTTCTATGGTATTTAAGAAATAGGAGGAGAAATTGGATGACTACATTAATAAAAGTGAAAAGTACAATCTATTAACCTATACTAAAAGCAAATCCTGGCACTTGTCATTACCTAGTAAAAAAATTTCCCGCCTTTTCGTTTTTTTTTTTTGGCAAAATCTTTAAGTAAACTATTTATAACTTATGATATTTTCTTTCCAGTTTGACAATCATATTCTATATATACGCAAATGAAATATTTCTGAATATCGTTTATATACTTTATATTTTGTAATATTATTTTTGTCAAAAATATTTAACAATCGTGCATTGCACGGAATTTTAACCTAGTTAGAGACAAAAGTTAGAGAGAGAAAGTGGAAAAAAGTACAAGGCATATGCAAAATTCAGGGATAATTTAGGAAGTACAATGAATAAAGTTAAAAAAAATGAGGGTATAATAGTCTTTACATACTATCCAAAAATGGAAATAGGAACAACATTTTGGATCACCAAAATAAGAAAACAGGAACTATATTATGGGACAGAGGGAGTAGAAGATATACTAATTTTGAAGTATTTGTACCCATATCATTATAAATTATTAAGAGGTTGTACTCTCGATAAGGTAACAAATTCATTACCCTATGTAATGATAATTGTTATCCAAACCTTCTAATTCAACCAATTATTTAGTAATAATTATGGTTATTTTAAATGTGTTTTCAACCCAAAAAACACTCTTTCCAAACATGCTTTAATTATTTTCCACAAAACATTTACGATTTACTTATTCTACTTCCAAAAAATGCTTAAGCATGACATAGGGCGTTCATGTATTGTTTTTCCTTTCCAAATCTACTCGTTTTCCTTGTCTTGTGTGTAGCGCTTTTTTTTTTTTGGTGTTTAAAGAGCTATAAAGGCGAGTGATGAAAATCGATCCTAGGATCCCCTGAAATCGAAAGAGAAACTTTAACCACTTGAGCTATCCATCAATTTTGTTTTAAATAGATCCATCACTCTCTTTTGTGTAGCACTTTGATTGTCTTTTGTCTTTTATGTAGTACATGTTTATCGTTGCTCGTTTTTCATAATTGGGCCGTCAAATCAAATCAGCCTACTCTACTGGCATGCCATAGACAGGTATTGGGCTATTAAGTTGCAAGTGAGTATTTTGGGCCCGGCAGTTTGTTGACCCGGTAGAATCAAGACATTAATTTTTAATAGGTACAAATATAAGAACCTGTAGAGTCAGAACACTTCACATGTTAACCAAATCCGAGTTAATGGTTAAGATACTTTGGTTGGAAGTGGAAGGATAAAGAGCGCAATTTTAACCTTACATCTAATTGTAGGATGTTAGGCACAACCAGACAATCAAAGCCCAATTTAAGAGCAGCAGAAAAAATTGACGAAATTGGTCCAAATATGTGGATTATAACTTTCGAAATTGAAAAATTTTCAACTATTCCATCCCGGAAAGAAAAGAGTCGGAGTGCTTCCCTAGATCTACCGTCTTATAGCTCGTGATTACCTACGCAACAAAATTTCAAAATAGTCACAAATTTGAGCTGAGCTTATTTTTGAGCCCAAAGCTTTTGACAATTATGGTTCCAAATAAACTTTGTACGATCTAGGATGACCACCCATCCATTCACTTCATTTTTGGAAAATTTTCTCAAAGATAAAATTTATCCCACAATGTGGATGCCTTCGATTGGGGACATATTTTGATTTGTGGGCCCAAAAGGAAAATAAGTCAGGGTTCATTCCACAAAACCCACAATTTTCGATAGGTCACTTTGGTGGCTAGACCATTTCTTATGACTCTTGACTACTATACCAAATGCGATAAAATTCCAAAACTGTTATGGAGTACAAAACCGAATCAAGACTTCACAAAGGTATTAATAGGTCTACTATAGTTCCAAACTACAAGTAACATTTATGACCTCAAGCGCCACTCCAAGCCTTCACTTCATTTTTGGATAAATTTTTCAAAATTGGTCAAAACAACATGGATTATAACTTTTGTTTGGAGAATTTTCAGACTTTTCTAGACATGTATTGAGATATATTGAGTTAATATCGTATACTATTTTTCTTATGATATTTGTAAGGAAATATTATCTTGTGTATTTTAGTTAACTTCCTAATATCCTTGTATATCTTTTGATTCTAAGGGAGGAATATTGTATCACATATATATTGATTGAGCCATGAATGAGAAGGCAAGTCGTATCAGTGCAAATTTCTACATGGTATTAGGCTAGGTTATTTTTCAAAAAAAAAAAAATGATGATCGATTGTTGCAACCAGGGGAGGAAAGGTCCTTCGGCTGCTACGGGTTTGATTGGTAATGCAAATGTTTCTGAAAATCGTTTGAATAGTAAATTTGATACAACTTCTTGGATAATTGACACTGGAGCTACACACCATGTTACAGGTGAAAAATCATGGTTATTTGATACATAAATTTCTCATTGTCCCGTTGGTTTACCTAACAGTGATTCGGTATTAGCTACCTTAGAGAGCTCAGTTCGTTTGTTAGATAAAATTGTGCTAACTCGAGTTCTATATGTTCCCAACTTGAGTTGTAATTTGCTTTCTATCTCTCAACTTAATGATGTATTAAATATAACTGTCCAATTTAATTCTTATATGTGTGCTATACAGGACCAAATGAAGGAGCTGATTGGAACGGAAGTTCAAAAAGACGGACTGTATTATTTTAGCAAACCAAAATTGGTGCAACATGTGTCCGTAGATGAATCAACAGCAAGCTTGGAGTTATGGCATAGACGAATGGGGCATCCATCCGAGAAAGTTGTCAGGTTAATTCCTCATGTTAGTAATACTAAGGGTAGTTTACATAAAAGGTGTGAAGTGTGTTTTCGTGCTAAACATCCTAGGGACAAATTTCCTTTGAGTGATAATAAAATTTCTAGAATATTTGAGAAAATTCATTGTGGTTTGTGGGGTCCATATCGTCATGTTTTGTCATGTGGAGCTCGTTATTTTCTAACAATTGTTGATGATTTTTCTTGAGCAATGTGGGTTTATTTGTTGATTGATAAAGCCTAAGTGTTTCAAATGTTTATGGATTTATTGCTATGGTCGATAGGCAGTTTCCTCAAACAATTAAAATTGTGCAAAGTGATAATGGTACATAATTTAATTGCTTAATTGATTATTTTACTGCATCTGGTTTTTTGTTTCAAACCTCATGTGTGAGTACCCCACAACAAAATGGAAGAGTTGAGAGAAAACACAAGCACATTTTGAATGTTACGAGAGCAATACGATTTCAAGCCAAACTGCCTATCTATTTTTGGGGGAGTGTGTTGTTGCCGTAGCTTAATTGATAAATTGCACTCCTACTCCTTTGTTACAAAATAAAACTTTGTAGACACCTAAAAATGTCTCCCCGCATAAAACCGATGATGAAACAAGCTTCATTGCATAATTTGGTCCGGTTCGTGAGATGGATCTAAGAATTACTTGAATAGTCTTTTTGTTTTAATCCACTATTATTTCCTAACCCATTTTAGCCAATTCAATATCCCAAACCCTTTTTAAGCCCAAAATCCATAAACCTTTACTTAAAAACAAAACCGCAAAACTGTTTACCCGCGCGACGCGTTTTCCAAATTCTATCTTCTTCTAAAATTCTATCTTCACTCGTTTTTAATCCTATAAATACCACCTTTATTTCTGATTTTTAGGAGGAATTTGACATCCCTACAACTATTTTTCAATCCCATATGACCCAAAAGGCTTAGACGTAAAGTTTCGACGTACAATGTCTATTGTTATTAGCTTTATTTCTAATCCTATTCAAGTAATTCAAAGCCCAAAACAAAATGATAAGGTTCTACCTTTTTTACTAAGGTGTGAAGGCATAATCCCGAGAGTGAAATCAATTTTTCTAACTCTTTAATTTAATTCTTTTGAACTTTTATTTTTATTGAAGTTACTAACGATTTATTCATGATTTAGTATTCAAAGTTGCACAATCGGAGTGAGTATTAAATTCTCTCGATTTTATTTACTCTAATTATTTTTAGTTCTTTGATAACTAACATCATGTTTAGGAATCATTATTTTTAATTATTAGTATCATGTTTAGGCGTTATATTTATCTTGTTAGTATCATGCCTAGAATTTTAGTAATAATTATTTAGTATCATGTTTAGGATGCTTTTAATTTGTTTCTCTAATTATTATCAAGTTGTTTCAAATATTTTTATGCATGCTTATTAATTTGATTTATTATATTTTGATCACCTATATTGCATGTTTAATTGGGAATATGTAATTGAAAATCACGCTTAATAAGATAATTTGAACAACCGGTTTAGGTTCCTATTAATCTTGTTGCTTAATTCAAGTGATTACAATAATTAGATTCATGTGTGCATTAAATATTCAATCGGCTTAGATTAATTAG